GATCTGCCATTACCTTCCGAAAAATGTTCACCAAATTCTAATTATATTACAAAATCAAACGCTTTTGTAAAGTCTATATCGTCTAGATATGTTCACGTTTTAAATCACCATCCTTTCTAATCGATTGTAATAAATGATGTGACCAGGAAAAATAGAATAGAAACCCACATGCTGGTGTTTATGTTTTGATGTGAGTCAATGCGTACGTCATCTTTAGGAACCCTTGAAAGCCAATCAAAATGGGACTTCCGTCAATAAAAGCAAATTTTGAATCTATTGAAACTAGTAGTAGTAGTAATTTGATAATCCTTAAACAGGATTGTGACGAATTGTACCCGCATACGATTAATGATATGGATAAAAATATGGATCATTTGTAAATATAGTCTTGAGATCAAGGGGTCTTTCAGCGTGATGTATGTTTATGTTCCCAGGAAGTACTGCTCGACCTGCATTTAGAGATCATCTGTTGTTTATCTGCCATAGTTGGCCTTGAAAACAACCAAGCAAACAGTATTTATGGCATCTAAAGCATGAGGAAACATAACCCTATATCATCACTAGTGTTGGTAAAACCCATTATATACACAAGTCGAATTTTAAGAGTGCAAAATAATTCAAGCCATTGACCTGCTGGCCATTGGAAGTGTGTCTTTTTTCGAGACCAATTTACAATGTATAACAGTTGCAGAATACAGTGCACAACAAAATGTAATGTTATTTCTTTTGTTCCACGAATGCATGCAATAGTAATAATTAACCCCGACATTCTTGCACAATTGCTCCGAACTGCATGTTTATATTTTGATAAATAACATGTATTTGACGTCTGTCAATTGTAGAACCACACGGGGTAAACCCATATTGAATCGAGGGGGTAAACAATATTTCAGGAACATTCCATGATGCGTGATACCATACCTATTTATCCGGGACCCTCTCTTATCTTTGAAGTTGGCAATTCCAAAGTTGTGTTTAGGACAGTTTGGTACTCAGTTGAGTTTGAAATTGACAATAATGGTTGATCCTTGGGTTTGATCATGCTGACACCTCGTGACAACGTGCACATCGATTCGAGGTCCTATCCAGGGACGAGCTATTCATTGTTCAAAAGAGTTTGTGCAAAGGAAATTCACCAACATATATATGTAACAATGCGTCATAGTCGTAAACAAAGAATAATAGTATTAACACAATGGGGATCATTCGCCTAAACACTTTAACAACGATATTCAATGCGAAAAGTTACCTTGAATGGCCATTTTGGTACCATGTGCCATTATAAAGTGAACTAACTCCAATAACGCAGTAGAACATATCTCAAGATTAACAAAAGTTTGTGTTTTTCTCGAATGATAATTTGAGAACATCTGTCGATGCCTGGAATGGAGTTCCAAATAGGAAAGGGCCTTGTCCTTGAAGCTCATTTTATCGCCTTGTCAGTTTCCCCATTTTGTTCCTCACGCCGACAAATGATAACAATGTGAGTTCCAACAAACAATCTCAGTCTAATACACCGACAGCTAGAGTGATCCGTTTTGGAATTTATTGGAAGACAGTCTAATCTTGTTATGTTATCCCATATGTTCTGCGTCTGCACTTCTGGTCTATAAGTTAGAGGTCCACAGTTCGTAGCTTGTTTTATTGATCATAACGATATATAACAATTCTAAAACAGTATGACCAAAGTTACCACCTTCGGATTTCATTGAATAGTACGGTAAAAAGATTTGGGAAAATAACATCAAATTATTATACTAAATCTAGTACATCCGCGATGAAAAACTTGTTTAACTTGTACGGAAGAACCGGTATATCAGAAAACCCCTCTCATCTGAACACCTCTCAATGTGAAGTTTTTTCTGTCCAATTTGAATTTGCCAGATATTAGCATATTGGTGTTCAGATGATACAGGTTTCACTGTAGTTAGAAAAATTCGGAATGCCCACTACGCAATAGGGTCAAAGGCTGTGTCACGTTTATTATTCATCATACTAACATATTTGCTAAGAAATGTCTGTATCGAATGAGGCGGAGGGCATATTCGTTAGGCTACCTGTTTGATTTTCCTATTGAAAACCTTGGAAATCCAAGTACTAGTGAAGACGATAGTTTGACCCCGGGGGTTTGACTCAATACCATTATTCAATCTGATACACTTGCAATTGTTATTGTTCTACTGTTCGTTATGCATCTGGACTGCACTCCATGTCCCAAAAGCTCCCAAGGGCATCCTTTTACCAGGGTATTTTTCACTTCGCTTGAAATTGAATTGGGAAGCTTCTTTGAGCAACTCTGATCGATTGTCGTTGATTACACAGCCAGAGCATCTGCAACTCTGTAAATCCTCATATCAAGTTTAGAGAAGCAGAGATTCAAATTATTTGATTACATAAATACATCGCTGCATACATCAGTTAATTAACTGCCCTCATTTACGGAAAGAGGTCAAATATGTGATTGCAAGATGAATATAATGAATATTATGGCATTCTTATATAAGCCAAAATTAACCATACTACTGGGAAATCTGTTACCACATTGTATATTCATTGCAATTATATTTGGCGTTGAATGAACTGACTTCCTTGTTGAGATATAGTAATATACGTGGAAATAAGACGACTCTTGAGGACACCATTTATTTTTGGCTCCTGTTATGAGCTTAATTGGCAATTATTTAATCTACCTTTTCAATCTCCAGCTTTGGCTAAACAATGATAATGCACATTGGGCAACATTTTGAAAACGAAATTAACCCATGTTAAAGGATATGAGCTACATGCACAATTATGCAAAAAGAACCATAAATACAAGGAATCAACTTATTCATATGTCTATTCTTAAATGAGACCTCAGAATGAGTCATTCCCAAAGCCGCTTCTCTAGAAAGTAGTCGCGTCTAATATTCTATACGGCAATAGTTTAAAAAGCATTGCTGTCCAGACAGTTCACAAGGCATTTTAACTCAATTGATTTATTGTTATTAAGGCTGGCCCAGTGAAATAAATCCAGAATATATTTTCACGAAACCTTAAGAATTCACAAGGTTCATGCCTATAGCCAGCCTTTTTCAAGGAGGTTCCGTTTTTGAAAAATTCCAGGAGATTCAAATTTGACAAAGGCCCAAAGTCATACGAAAAGTGCGCATAATTGTGAAAAATTGCATGCTCTTGAAAAGAAAATGTCCGCCCTTCCCCAATTAACCCCCTGTCCACGGGCCTGAGCTTTCAATACTGTATATCCCTATGGAAAATGTATATATCTAGATTAGTTAGACCCTTGAGTCAGCCAATATGCCGATGAGGGAATAGTTAATACTATATATGTGTAGCTACTATATAGCTAGCTAAAACATACTACTATTAACAGTATCAAATCAGTTTTGGATATAGGATTTATCATTCGGGAAATAATCCACTCCCACTGTCGCTATATTGCATAACAATGATTGTGAAACACATGAAATAAAAAGTAGGCGAGGTAATAAAATCAAAGTAGATACATTAAATCAATGTCACGTTCATCAGATAACATTCTTCAAAAGAATACTTGACAATACTTGAAACTTGAAAAATTCAATATAACCTCGACGTTTGCATGCAAAGCTACATGCAGTTAATAATATAAGTCAAAAATATGACCTCATGAGCATAACTGTTCGTAACGAATCTCGTTAACAGATGGTTATTTCAACATACATGGGAATTGAAGAGGGACACGGTCAAAGTGACCCTACCTTCATCAGTATGCAATATTGGAGAAGGCTAGCACTATATCCACGATGAGTAATAGCGTTAATAGTACCCCGTGTATCAGTGTATAGTACTAGATTTAGAACCTAGTTTCTAGTTCGTAAGTCGGGTATCAAGACACGTGTATATCCCCCTTCAACCACCCAAGCAATTCACTTGGATAAAAGGAGAATTGAGCGGGTGTGCAAGGGCTTGATACGATACTTGACACAGGGCACATATTTTATATCAAGTCCTCCTGTATGTCAAGACCTAATGGTTTCCAGCGGGGATGTAACAGTGAACCTCATATCTCAATTTATTTTGACAAGTTTTTGTTCTTGAGACAAATCAAACTGAGACTTACATAATCCCAAGTCAAACTAAAGTAAAACATTATTATGTATTTTGTGCAATGGTAGTCTTGTATAAAATTGGTTTGAGAAGGAGCCCATAGAATTGGAAAATTAATAAAATGGGAGGGGTTTCCATTTGGGATTGCCCTATATCCCTCCTCACCATTCTTGGGATCAATACAGCCACCTCCCCCAATCGTCTCATATTTACTGTATTATTCAAGGTGTAGGCCTGTCGCAAGACTGCCATTTGCATTTTCGACGTCCTGGAATGTCCTGTTTCTGGGACGAATAGATCTAATCAGCCATTTTATAAATTTTAGAATTTAGAATTTATTCGGTACGGCCATTGTTATTAAGGACATGGCCAGACTACAATTATACCAACTTCATTATAGTTACATTAATTTACAAAGATATTGTGTTGGTTGCGATGTTATAGATTTATAAAGCAAGTAAATTAAATGGACCTTTATGTTAATTAACCAGCTGATCGTGTACCTTAGTTATTATCGTTGCGGCATCCTTATTGCCATTTCTGCAGCGCATTCCCCAGAGCAGAGGGGTACTACAATCGATAGATGAGTTGCAATTGTATCAGCTAGCTATTCTTGGAGATTGTCGATCAGCTGTTTCGTTTTAATCGATGGAAGAATATTGCGTTGGTAATTTACTTCTCTGTTGCAATCACCACTGATTCCATTTCAGTTATTATCAGACTACTACTCAAGTCAAGACCCCCCCCCCAGTTTATGTAGATATTAACAACTACAATACCTCATATATACCTCAATTCTCATCGTTCCAATACGTAAAACCATTTATTTAAACCAAAGTTAACTGTATAGTCACGAAGAAAAATGGCAATCAAAGACTGAAATCAACTACATGTATCTGAAGATGACTTACCAATTACGATGGAGTTTCTCCTTGAAATGTTCTCAATACTCTTGCTTCGAATTAATGATATGTGCCGGACCACGGTCCACGCCGGTATTCGACTTTCTCGAAGAGCATGACTCAGAAATGCGGAGGTGTCTTAACAATGAGGTTTTGCAATATCTCTGGTTAACACCGGATCGATCAGCTGTTTTCTGTCAGAAATAGGTTATGTTAATGAAGTTGATTCTGAGGTCATAGCGCCGAGAACCGACAGAAGTGTAATATTGGATCGATACCGCCGACTCCAACCCAATTTCGACCACTGCGACGTTCGCCATGAAAACGCGGTTTGCGCATTGGTGAAAAGCAATCAATAATTCTAGGACTAGTACTTTTACAAACATCAGATAACATGAAGTTATAATACATAACTCGAGATTTGAGATTAAATAAACATACTTTTCAAAGGTAATACAATTGTTAAAATGAACCACGTCTAGTAAACCCACGCGTGTTAGGTAAAGTTGTTTTGAAGTTACAATACAAATTAAAAGATTTAAGGATTTATTTATAGCTTTACGAGTGTTCATGAAAAGCATGCAATGATATATCATTTTGACTTACTTTCGCTTTGATTTCATTCTACCAACAGGCGGGTCTCACCGCTAATTTATTCATTGTCATGTGACCTTATAATTGTATAGGAATGCTTGAGAGTTCAAAACATGATCATATGACTGTGAATGGAAAAAATTCGAACCCTGGAATTCTATTGACTGGATAACGGATAACTATTGACAATAACATCTGCATAAAAAGTATATAAAGTAGATTAACCTTGAGATAATCAGCCTGAATAAATATAAATTAACTCAGGCCCGTAGCCAGGGGGGTTCGCAGGGTTCGGGCGAACCCCCCCTGGCCAAAAATTCTTTCAAAATCATGCAGTTTTTCACCATTTTGAGCACTTCTCAAGTGATTTGAGCCATATTTGGGCCAAAATTGTCAAATGTGAACCCCCCCTGGAAATTTTTGGAAAATGAACCCCCCTTGGCAAATCCTGGCTACGGGCCTGTAACTGTATATTGACAATTCGTAATTAACAACACCAATTGCGGGGAGGGGGGTGGGGTGCGATACAAAACAGATTTTAGCTTTTGATGAAAAAATCATTACAAAAGAGATGGCAAAATTAAACCCAGCCCCATAACACAGGCCCATGTGCCATATAGGTGCTAAATCAACAAACTTAAGAGCCCTATGGTCAGTCTACTCTTTTAATTACAAACTTTGATTTTTCATTAATTTTAAATATTCCTACCCTACGCCACGAACGTTAACTGAATGATGAGCTGTAATAGAACAAATCATTAGTTCACTGATATTTTCAACTTTTTCCTTGAAACATAGATGGATGTCCACTAACTGGAAACTACAAAAAGTCATTACAGAACACAACAAGAAAAATAAAACATGTTAACATCCCGTGATACACCCATCATGAAGGAAAATAAAACCTTAATTATCCAGAACCATCATCTGAAAAGAAACAATGTATGATACCCCCTCCCCACCATAAATGAATTAAAAGGTAACACAAAGAAGACAGAAAACTGTTCTCCTCTTCCGCCATCTTTCTATCGAACTAGTCGAAGTTGTAATGAATTAAGCTAAGCTGGCAAAAAGATGGCAGTGTCACGCATGTTTGTATATTTTATACGAACACAGTGTCAACTTTCAATCCGGGTCGAGTTCACGATTATGCCTTGGTCACATTTGCTCCGATTTTCACTGCGGCGCCCGGCCGATTGAGTATTTTGTTCAGAATTGAATACAATATTGAATAAAACACTCAATCGGCCGGGCGCCGGCCGATGGATTGGAGCATGTGTGACCCAGGCATTATGCATGTCTGCGGGGGATGGGGTAAATCATCCCCCCCATTTGATTATGAGTACTATTTAAAAGTTTTTGTGCTCCCGTTATTTTTAAATCTTGACCGACAGATAAATGACATAATTCAAGGTGTAGAGGGCAAAGTAATGATAGGCGGAAGTTGATGGCCAATTTAAATAAAACACACTAACAATAGGTATTTATCCTGTATGCTAATATTGTAGAAAAACACAACTTAGTGAGCATTATTAATGATCTACATTTGATAAATAGTCATTCAGGATATTGAATTCACTTTTCATCATGTCTCATTTCATTAAAATGAGCCAACGACGATGTTATAAAGGATATAGTGCGCGCTCCATTATGATCTCCCCATGAACAAAATTATATTTTCTATCGTTTTGAAGTATGAATGAGATTGAAAATAATTTTCTGATCATTTTGTTAGCAGTTGCTGAAATAGAACGAGGTTTGATTCTGAGTGTAAAGTAGTAGCCAATAGAAAAGTAGTATTTTGAACAAAGGGTAGTATGAAACTAAGGTAGTCATTCTCGGCTTTTTGCTTACACGAGTAACACCTAAAGAACAGGTCCATTTAACAGACTATTGGTCAACTAAGACTTTTCCCAAAAAACTCATTCTTCCATTTACTTTCAAAACCGATTGCAAGTTGTAGATAAACCTTTTTTCTTGAGGTGTGCAATTTCAAAAAGTAGCATTAGTTTTCAGTTTCTTTGAAAAATTGGCAGTAAGAACCCCTATCACAAGGCTGTCGGAATATGGGTACACACTATGTTTACCATCAAAATAATATCAAAACTTATCATTACGTACATAGAACTTTTTATATGGAACATATGGCATACAAGCATTCGGAGTCCAACATTAAAAAAATCTATCTATGTATGAAATTTTACCAATGCAAATCTGGAAAACATTGTCATTTTGTTCACTTTGTTATCAAGTTTTAGCATGGTGCTCATTTCCTTTCGTTGAAAATTGGGACTGTATTATAAAGCCTTCTGGGGCTGAGCCCTCTTGGGTTGTATCGGAGTAAGCCTTCTAGGGCTAAGCCTTCTGGGGCTGTATCAGATGAAGCCTTCTGGGGCTGTATCATACGAAGCCTTCTGGGGCTGCACCATTGAACATTATTCAGGTTTTATAAGTAGTTTAACGGGAGTGAAAGTTGACACCCCGAGTTGACACGTCTTTCTGCCAAGTACTAAATCCCACGCTCTGTTTTACAGAGGGACTCTGCTTCATTCAGGTGGGTGAGCCACCTGCATGTTTCCCTATAAAGGGTTTTTTCAGGTTGGTAGGCCGAAGTTGAGTCAGAGGCAGTCTCAGACGTTAACAAGGTCTCTGGGACCAAATAGCTAACCACGATATAACCAACATTTCATTGTACTCACATAGACATCAATAAACGTTACTCTCGGCATATGCAGCCATTGCTAAATAAATTATTATTTTGTTCAGTTTGTAAGAGCAAGTGCGGGGAATGATAAGAAAATAGATTCATCTGATTTTTCAAAATAAATATACTGCTTTTGTTACTACATTTATATGTACACTAGTATCTTGTTGACATATATTCAGCACTGTATTGATGAATGGTCCACTTATGCCTGGGTCACATTTGCTGCGATTCATCGGCCGGCGCCCGGCCGATTGAGTATTTTGTTCAAAATTGAAAACATTTCTGAACACAATACTCAATCGGCCGGGCGCCGTTGTAAAAATCGGGGCAAATGTGACCAAGGCATTATTAGGGCCAATATTCAATCATAAAGTGTACAGGGGTAGAGATGCCAAACCAGGAAGTCTTTTTGTGTCTGTCAAAATCCATTTGCATCCTACACATCCCTACATCTTATCCAAATATGTTATTAATTAATGAAACATAACAGTATAATCTTTGGATTAACAAAGTTGTATGGAATTTCATAAGTGTAAAAGTTGCTTTTGAAGCATTTTTCTTTAGCCATTTTAGAGGAAAAAATGATGAAAAAATGTATAATCTTTTAATTTGAAGTACGGCCTGAATCGATTGCAAACTTTATATTTGCACATCTGATGTGATAAACCATTTGTGTCATATTGTGAAGTTATCTAATTTGCAATCGATTCAGGTCATAGTGTATTTTAGGTATTTTTGTGAAAATCAATAGAAACCAATGGCCTCCATTGGAATCTGATGGTATCCACATGTTAAGTCAATAGAACACATCCAATGTCAAGCTTAAGTCAATACACCCTTGATGAACTTAATGACATCAACCTCAGCCCATGTGGGTTCAAACGCTTACATATTTTCTAAATTATTATGTGACATTGTATTCTTTATGTTACACCTAAACATGATTCATTTTGTTCATGGGGAAATCATAATGAAAAGTGCACTAGGCCCTTTTTAAACGTATGAAATACAATTTTTTGTCGTCGATACGTCTTTTGGTGACCTACTTTTTGAAAAAACAATACTTGTGTTTTTCAGGTAGGGAGGGGTCCAAATTAACTTGTGACTTCGTATTATATAAAAAAAAAAACGTTGCAGACATTTACGTCCAATGCATCTCGATTCAATAGGTGCTAATTCAAATAATCTTATTTGTTCAAATAATGTTCATTCACAAAATTAAGTGATGTCATATAAAAATGAATTTTACAAAAGTCAATGTTATAAGATCATTAAATAGCTTTTGTTGTATTAAACAGCTCATTATTCTTTTACATGTTTGCCTACTTTGTTATGTAAACTGAGGAAGTCATGCAGTGATAATACATCAATAAACATATTTTTCTGACATACGCAAGTATATATTAATCAAATTACAATCATATTTTAAACTTAACAGTATATGCATTCAAACTGGAGCAAACTAAAATATATGAGGTTTCCTGATACGTATTATTGTATTGTTTTTTATTTAAGTGTCACAGGCTTAATTTCATACATATACATCTATACAATCATCCAAAAAGCCTCGAGCCACCAATGGCTTATAAGACACTGCTAATCAAAATAAATCATATAATATTATATAATAAGATGCATAATATGAGTCAGTTGCAGAAATAGGATTATGAATAAAGCAAAACTCCATGACCTCGAACATTGTTTGATGAACTCGATCACTCAGTCAGTTGTTGAACATATGCAAATGTGGTCAGGTTAAACATTTAAGTACAATTTAAGTCCATGATATTTTCACATATTGAACATAACACTCAGTTTCACAAAGAGATGTATACAAATCTAATCCACAAGTAGAAATGATTGTTTCATGCTGTTTATGCATTGTGTATAAACTCATCCTCCTAAGCAGGTATCCAGAATCCGTACCTCCTTCTTCCCCCTGCTATAACCAATTTGGAAGCGCCCGATTAAAATGAATCACGTGATCTAATTATGCGCAATGACTT